TTACCAGTTTTGTTTTGAGAGCTAAAAATCATATGATAGATACTGCACTTGGGACTAATCATCATCTTAGCATATCTATTATTAAAAAAAAAACAAAGCCTGGCTTATAATTGATCTGCTTCAAAGTTGATTGTACTTCTGGCTCTGTTGGCTGATGAGCCCATGATTAAAAATGACTATTATGCCAGTAATTTTTATGCCACTAGTAATGGTTATGATAATGATGAAAACTCTCCCCCAAAAAGAGAGAATCCTCAGACCAGAAGCACTGATTTTGTGGATACCAGCTTGGAGCTTATCCCTGAATTCATGATACAGAGACTCTATGTTTCTCTTCCACTGGGGCAGGTATGTATGGGGTAACTTACCCTGTTTCTCTAATCTTATATGTGTTTCAACTCTGCCCCCTAAAAGCTCCTTCATGGCTAGTTGCGATCTTTGCCACCTCACCTTCTCCATGAATGCTTACCCATCGATTCTTGAAATCAGGGATTCTTCTTTGTTTTTCTACATAGAAAAATTATATACTTTCTCTTCAAAAAATAGCCAGATACTCAGTAGTCTCTGCTGGATCATAAATTTCTGGATGTCTACTTTCTTCCTCCTGCTTCTCCACCCCATAGGATTCAGACAGATGAACAGTGTTAAGCAGGTCACTCAAAGTGACAGGGAGACATTTCCTGACTAAGATCTGGGTACGATTGGATACTTTGCAACTTTAAGTATTCTTCTCTCTAAATACAAATTGACTTATCAAGCTTCACTGTTATTTCTCCTGCAAGCTACTCAAGGTTGTAAGCTGGAGTTCATTTGAAGCAAAACCCAATCCTTTCAGGTCTCAGAAGCCAGAGGCAAGTTGAGTCAGGTACATACCAGCCAGGTTCAGAACCTGCCTCTTGTTGATCTGGTTCACTTACCTATTACTTCCACAACTCAGCATTCTGGAACCTATTTGTCAGGCAGGGTTCTCTATTTTCAGATGATAGTAAAGGGAGGGCCCTTTGGATGGTTGCTCTTACACTAACAAACATAAATACTGGCAGTTTTGGTCCCCATTTCCATCCATTCCATTTCAGAGATGGCCAATTGAAAAGAGAGTCCTATATGCTTTGGTTACTATACCTGAGAAATTGTCACTAAGGGCAGATGTGCATTGTACCATTGGAAAGGACATGGAAAAGCCTCAAATGCATACCTATTGCTTATTTGGTAGTCATAATAAGAGAGTTAATCCATAAAATTATCTCTGAGATATAAAGCACTATTGCCAGTGGTCATGTCAGAGAAGCTTCAGACAGCAATGAAGCTTATGGAATACAGTCCAGAGTATAACAAAGCTACTCTGGGTCCATCCTGGAGAGGCAAAGCCCCAGGAGGATTGTTTCCAGAATGTCCCTTGCTTCTGCTGTTTCCTTCTCTTTGCTGTTGCCATGTTCCTGCTGCTTTTGGCATGGTGTGATTACTACATGAAGGAATTCCATTGTATCTAGCATAGTGTGATTGTTTCTTGAGAAAATCTCACCCCTCACTGGGCAATTTACTTGCAGCTCATAATAAAGATGATTTTTATAAGAGCAATGAGGATTAGTTTAATCTTTGACTTAATTGGATTTTCTGAGTCACCTTAAGGGATACAGGTGGTTAAGACAATTAGTGAAGATGATTAGGAAATGGTTTAGTTTATTCTGCCAATTGCTCTTAAAAGAGATACAAAAAAGATGAAAATAGGCTAGAAGTTACCTTCTCTTTTGTTAGATATGAGATTTACAGGAGATGAACAATAAGAACAAGGAAGTTTCATGCATTATAGACTCATGAATTCCTCCTGTGGGAAAACAGGCTGATGATCAAAGAAAACAATTATGTCCCTACACCCAAGATTAGGCCTGAGTTCCTTGGTCATGTAACTTACAGAATTAACAACAGGCACCACCTTGAAAAGTTGTAAAAATAAATTAAATGACTCTATTGCGTGTAAAGGAAAATAGATGGTAAATTGACACTCATTTAAAGTTTCTCTAGAGTAGAAGTAAAAATAGAATTCTTTTCCACTAAAGCCACAAACAGCTGCCTGCCAGTATAAAAGGAACTTGCTGAAATATACTTAGCTTGCTAAAACTTTGTTAATCAGTTATAAAAGAACCATTGCGTTTGGGTGAAGATGTTATGGTGGGAAAATTAATACAAAGAAAAATGTCTAACTACTTGTGGGCTTCTAAGGAAAATGTGTAACTTACGATCTTAATATGAATTCTTCTTATGTAAAGATTTTAATTTGTTTTTGTAAAATATGTAACTTATGGTTGTATATTAATTTTTTCTTGCATAAAGATCTTTGTATTAGGAGGTATAAAAACCCTGTCTCGAAAAACCAAAAAAAAAAAAAAGGGATAAGAGAAAAATAAGAGATATAGGAGAAGGAGAGATATAGAAGAAAAAAAGATCAGGGAAGAAATAGAAGGGAAACATCAAAGGGATAGAAGGAGAGAAACTGGAAAAAATATAAAAAAAATACACAACAGGGTAAAGGAACAGAACAGAGTAGGAAGGACAACCAGCAGAGAGAAAAATAAAATAAAGAATTAGGCTTTGGCTCTCCGATAAGGATCCTGTGTGTGTCTGTGTTTCTGATCCAATAGTTCACCTATCCACATCTCCTTTCCAGTTTCTCCGACCTGCTAGAGACCCTGCTCTTGGCAGCGTGCTATTATGATTCAAAATAGTGCAAAGTTCTCTAGAGCTGTAGACATCTGGCTTTTGTTCATCACAGGCTAATAGTCAACAAATGATGTTGCTTTGTATCATGTCCTCCATGTTAAGGTGAGAATTGGCTTTCTTGGCATTTGCACTGCTATAGTTTTGTTCAGCTCCATCATTTGGTGCTGGTACTGTTGGCCTTCTAACTGATTTGCTTGCTTCTGTTTTTATTCTCTACAGTCACAGCATAGTACAAGTTCACAATGGAACACACTAAAACAGGGGTGTGGGCATGTCACTCCTCAGTTTAATGACATTGTTAGTGTCCACTGTCCTTTTCAAAATAAGCCGCAGGTCTGACTAAAGGGAACTAAATATCTCTGCTTTCATCTCTTGCTATTCCTGTTATTATTTTTGCTATGTCCACCTTGGCCTCCTTATGGGCCAGGGGCTTTCTCTTCTCTATTTCCTCTCTCTGAAGTGATAGTTTTGGATATTAGTCTTTCTTCTCCTTTCTGTCTCTGCTCAGTTACTGCCTTCAGGATTTTTGGAAGGATGGAGTAACATGGACTAGATAAACTCTTAACTTTTGACAACTATTATCCAAAAAGAACGAAAAAATCCACAATAGTTTTCACTTCTTGAATAATAAAGAAGGTAAACGAAGTAAGTAAGTACTATGATTGTCCAAGCTTAAAGCCTAGTGCTATTTCCTTGCCAACAGGACAGTAAAGGAAGCTCAGGCAGGATCAGTATCAGTAGGACAGTACAATCCTAAGTATCATATGAACTGATGGAAATTGAAAAAAGACATAGTTATAGTCAGAGATTAAAAAACACTTAATAATTACTAAAAAATCAGAACATTGACAAGGATATAGAAATCTTAAAGAATGCTGTCAACCAGCCTGGTTTAATCAGTATATATGGAATAATTTCTTCAGCAATACCAGAATGTAAACATGAACAGTTATTAAGTATGCTCATTTTGAGTCATAAAATAAGCCTCAATAAACTTTTTAAAAATCCTATGAAGTGTAACCTCTGATCACAATGAAATAAAGATACATAGCGAAGCATGCCTGTTTTCTAGCACTTTAGAGACTGGGGCAAGAGGATCACAGCAAGTCCAAGGCCAGCTTAGGCAAAATACCGAAACCTTTTTCTCAACAAATAAAGAAACAAACAAAAACTGGGAAGGGGGGCGGTGAAATGGCTCTGTAAGTAAAGATACTTGATATCAAGTTTGATGACCAGAGCTCAATCCCCAGGATCCACATAAGAGAATTGATTCCTGCAAGGTGTCCTCTGACTTCCACATGCACACACGTGCGCACAAACATGTAACAAGCAAGTAAATGTAATAATGATGAAAAGCCCAAGAAAAAAGATAGAAACTAACAGAAAAATCCATGAAAACTAAAGGATTTAGAAACTAAAACACAAAATAGATTGTGGCTCAAAGAAAATCAGAAATTTCTCTGAACTAGTTAGAAATGAATATACATTTCAAAATTTGTGAGTTGCAGTCACACCAGGACTTAGAGGAAAATTCATAATACTAAGTATCTGTGTTAGAGAACAAGAATGACATTTCCATCAAGTTCTGGAGAGCATGCAATAGTCTGTAATGTTTGAGGTTCTTTGGGTACTCACTGTTCAACAATCCCATAAAAGAAGACACATTCCTGGCACTTGGAAATTTATTTCTTAGTCTGTGGTGTCTAGGAGGGGCATTGTTGTCCCACTATTGAGTAACTACATTTTTTTCTTTTGCTTTTTTTTTTTTACTTTCTTTTTAAACTTTTTTAGTAATTTTTTTAATTCATTTTACATACCAGCTACAATTTCCCCTCCCTCCTCTCCTCACATTCCTTCCCCCAACCTCCCTTCTACTCCTCCCCTCCATTCACTCCTCCTCCTTCTCCATTCAGAAGGGGTAAGGCCTCCCATGGGAGTCACCAAAACATGGCATATCAAGTTGAGGCAAGACCAACCTCCTCCCCCTTGCATCAAGCCTGAGCTAGGCATCCCACCATAGGGAACAGGTTCCAAAAAGCCAGCTCATGCACCAGGGACAGGTCCTGGTCCCACTGCTAGAGGCCCCACAAGCAGACCAAGCTACACAACTGTCACCCACATGTAGAGGGTCTAGGTCTTTCCCTTGCAGTCTCCCTTGCTGTCAGTCTAGAGTCTGTGAGCTCCTACGAACTTGGGTCAGCTGTCTCTGTGGGTTTCCCTGTCGTAATCTTGACCACCACCCCCTGCTCATATAATCTCTCCTCTTTCTCTTCAGCTGGATTCATGGAGCTTGACCAAGTGCTTGGCTGTGGATCTCTGCATCTGCTTCCTTCAGTTACTGGTTGAGGGATCTATGATGACAATTAGGGTAGTCACCAGTATAACTACAGGAGAAGGTCAGTTCAGACACCTGCTCTACTATTGCTTAGAGTCTTATCTGGGGTCATCCTTGTAGATTCCTGGGAGTTTCTGTAGTACCAGTTTTCTCCCTAACCTCATAATGGCCCCCTCTATCAAGATATCTCTTTAATTGCTCTCCCTCTCTGACCCTCCCCCAACTCGACCATCCAGATTCCTCATGTTCCCATCCCCCATCCCCTCCCCTGTACCTCCCCCCCAGCCCTCGGTTTACTCAGGAGATCTCATCTATTTCCCCTTCCTAGGGCAATTCATGTATCCCTCCTAGGGTCCTCCTTGTTACCTAGCTTGTCCAGGGCTATGGATTATAGCCTGGTTATTCTTTGCTTTATATCTACTATCTACTTTTGAGTTAATACATACCATGTTTGTCTTTCTGGGTCTGGGTTATCTCACTCAGGATCTTCTTTTCTACTGCCATCCATTTGCAAGCAAATTTCCTGATGTCATTGTTTTTCACAGCTGATAATACTCTATTGTGTAAATGTACCACATTTTCTTTATCCATTCTTCGGTTGAGGGGTATTTAGGTTATTTCCAGGTTCTGGCTATTACCAATAATGCTGCTATGAACATAGTTGAGCAAGTGTCCTTGTGGTATGATTGACCATCCTTTGGGTATATGCCCAAGAGTGGTATCTCTGGGTCTTGAGGTAGACTGATGCCCAATTTCTTGAGAAACCACCATACTGATTTCCAAAGTGGCTATACAAGTTTTGCACTCCCACCATCAGTGGAGGAGTGTTCCCCTTACTCCACATCCTCTCCAACATAGGCTGTCATCAGTATTTTTGATCTTAGCCATTCTGACAGGTGTAAGATGGTATCTCAGAGTGGTTTTGATTTGCATTTCCCTGAATAGGTAAAGAGGTTGAGCAATTCTTTAAGTGTATCTTGGACATTTGAGATTCTTCTGTTGAGAATTCTCTGTTTAGATCTGTACCCCATATTTTAATTGGATTATTTGGTATTTTGATGTCTAACTTTTTGAGTTCTTTATATATTTTGGAGATCAGCCCTCTGTCAGATGTGGAGTTGGTAAAGATCTTTTCCCATTCTATAGGCTACTGTTTTGTCCTATTGACAGTGTCCTTTGCCTTAGAGAAGCCTTTCAGTTTCAGGAGGTCCCATTTATTAATTGTCAATCTCAATGTCCGTGCTACTGGTGTTATATTTAGGAAGTGGTCTCCTGTGCCAATGTATTGAAGGCTACTTCCTACTTTCTCTTCTATCAGGTTCAGTGTAACTGGATTTATATTGAGGTCTTTGATCCACTTGGATGTGAGTTTTGTGCATGGAAATAGAGATGGATCTATTTGCTTTCTTCCACATGCCACCATCCTGTTATGCCAGCACAATTTATTGAAAATACTTTCTTTTTTCCATTGTATATTTTTGGCTGTTTTGTAAAAAACCAGGTGTTCATAGGTGTGTGGATTTATGTCAGGGTCTTTGATTATATTCCATTGATCCATGTGTCTGTTTTTATGCCAATACCAAGCTGTTTTTATTACTATAGCTCTATAGTTGAGCTTGAAGTCAGGGAGGGTGACATCTCCAGAAATTCCTTTATTGTACAGGATTGTTTTAGCTATCCTAGGATTTTTGTTTTTCCATATGAAGTTGAGTATTTTCTTTTGAGGTCTGTGAGGAATTGTGTTGGGATTTTGATGGGGATTGCATTGAATCAGTAGATTGCTTTTGGTAAGATTGCTGTAAGATTTTACTATGTTAATCCTACCTATCAGTGAGCATGGGAGATCTGTAGCTGGAGGGTTTCTCTCTGGGTCCTGCCAAGCCCCCATAGTACTGCAACCCACTTATAAAATAAACACTCAGAAGCTTATATTACTTATAAAGCGTCTCCTGACTCAGTCTTCCTGTTCCCAGAATTCTCCTCTCTCTTTGTCCCACCTATACTTCCTGCCTGGCTACTGGCCAGTCAGCACTTTATTTATTAACCAATCAGAGTAACACATTCACAGCATAGAGAACATCCCACATCAGATATCTTTCCATTTTCTGATATCTTCTTAGATTTCTTTCTTCAAAGACTTGAAGTTTTTGTCATACAGGTCTTTCACTTGTTTGGTTAGAGTTACCCCAAGATATTTTATATTATTTGTGGCTATTGTAAAGTGTGTTGTTTCTCCTATTTCTTTCTCAGCCTCTTTATCATTCGTATATAGGAGGGCTACTGACTTTTTGAGTCATCTTGTATCCCACCACATTACTGAAGGTGTTTATCAACTGTAGGAGTTCCCTGGTAGAATTTTGGGGGTCACTTATGTAGACTACCATATCATCTGCAAATAGCAAAAGTTTGGCTTCTTCCTTTCCAATTTGTATTCCCTGATGTCCTTTTGTTGTCTTATTGCTCTAGCTAGAACTTTGAGTACTATATTGAATAGATATGGGGAGAGTCAACCACCTTGTCTTGTTCCTGATTTTAGTAGAATCATTTTGAGTTTCTCTCTATTTAATTTGATGTTGGCTGTTGGCTTGCTGTATATTCCTTTTATTAAGCTTAAGTATGTTCCTTGTGTCCCTGATCTCTCCAAGACCTTTTTAATGAAGGGGTGTTGGATTTTGTCAAAGGCTTTTTCAGCATCTAATGAGATGATCATGTGGGGTTTTTTTTCCTTTCAGTTTGTTTATATAGTGTATTACATTGACAGATTTTCCTATGTTGAACCATCCTTGCATCCCTGGGATGAAACCTACTTGGTCATGGTGGATAATTTTTTTTTGATGTGTTCCATTGATCCTTCTTTAAGCCTTTATAACACTGTTTTCTATCTCCTCTTCTTGAAAGCTCCAGACCCATGGTACCTTACTAATTTTCTGACCTCTATGGTTATTCCAATGAAATATATCTGAAGATACAAGACTACCATCCACAGATGAGAGAAAAAGTGTGACATTTATCTTTCAGGATCTAGATTACCTCATTCAGACCCTATTTCTGAGGATGCCTGGTTCTGGTTCACAGAACGCAGCATATTCTGGCACTGATATCGAAGCTTCATACCTACTGGCTAGGTTTTATGGTGCTGGAAGATGCTGTGCATGCTACCACAGAAAAGTAACCATCAATCTTACCCAGCTGTAAATGATTTCAGCACAATAACAACTGGCCTGGTAGGCCATGACCCCTGGTGCAATAGGGGCATGAAGATCACAGGAGTAGGCTGCTATATAGGTCGCTCTCTCCAAACTGATGACAAGGCCACATTGTTGAAGACAACACCCACACAACTCATTAAACATGGAGAAGTCAAGCTGGAAACTACATAGAGCCTTTATCCCTATGTGCTAGCATGTTTGGTACAGATAGGTACTCTACATGCTACCAAAAGAGAAAAATAAACACTAAGACAGCCACAAACCCTTTGATCTACAGTGGTATTCTGCCTTCAAGATTTAATGGAGCTTGCTAGGCTGTGGGAGTGCACACATTTAATCCCAGCACTCAGGAGACAGAGGAAGGCGGATCTCTGTAAAATTTTTTTGGCCACCGTGGTCTATAAAACAAGTTCCAGGACAGCCAAAGCTATTACATGAAAAATCCTTCCCCCCAAAAAACATACTGGGGCAGTTGTGGGACAAAGCTTGTGCAAGTAACCAACTAATATCTGCCAATATCTGATTTGACTTAAGGCCTCCCTCCATGAGATGGAACCCATACCTGACACTGCTTGAATAACCAAGAACCTGGGACTAGATAGCCTAGGGACCTAGGATAAAACTAAATACTACTGTTCTTAAAACAATAATAACAACAAAAAATGTAGCAATTAAATGACTCCTAATGACATTCTCCTCTACTCATAGATCAGTGCCTTGCTAAGTCATCATCAGAGAAGATTCCTCCTTCAGCTAATGAGAACAAATACAGAGACTCGCAACCAGACTTTATGCAGAGAGGAGAGACTTTGGAAAACTCAGCCCAAAACAGGATGTCTCTATCAAATCCCTCCTCTCAGGAGTCAGGTAATTGTGGTGGTATTGTGTTCCCCAAAATATCGTGCACCCTAATAAACTTCTCTGGAGTCAGATACAGAACAGCCACTAGATACAAAGGCTAGAAAATGGTGGCACTCACACCTTTAATCCTAGCATTCCAGAGGCAGAAATCCATCTGTTCAAGGATACAGCCAAGCATGGTGACTCACGCCTTTAATCCCAGAAAGCAAGCCTTTAATCCCAGGGAGTGATGATGGTAGAAAGCAGAAAGGTATGTAAGGTGTTAGAACCAGAAACTAGAAGCATTTGGCTGGTTAAGCTTTTGGCTGGTTAAGCATTCAGGCTTGTGAGCAGCACAGTTCAGCTGAGAACCATTCGGATATGAGGACACAGAGGCTTCCAGTCTGAGGAAACAAGTTCAGCTGAGGAATTGGCAAGGTGATGAAGCTGTGGCTTGTTTTGCTTCTCTGATTTTCCAGCATTCACCCCAATAACTGGCCTCAGGTTTGATTTTATTAATAAGAACTTTTAAGATTCCTGCTACAGGTAACTTAGTGAAAGAGGAGGCAGAAAGAGTGTAAGAGCCAGAGGGGATGGAGGACACCAAGGAAACAAGACCTCCAAGTCAACATGATCAAATCACATATGAACTCATAGAGACTGAAGCAGCATGCATAGGGCCTGCATGGGTCTGCACCAGGTCCATCTATCTATCTATCTATGTATCTGTCTGTCTGTCTGCCTGTCTATCTACCCACCCACCTATGACTTGCAGCTTAGTGTTTTTCTGGGATTCCTGAGTGTGCAAATTAGTGAGTATCTGTTTCTTGTGCCTTCTCTTGCACTCTTTTCCTTCTGTTTGTTTGTCTTAACCAAACTCTGATGGGTTAGTTTTTGCTTAATCTTATTTTATTTTATTATTATCCCTTAGAAGCCTGTTTGTTATCTGGATATGATGGAAGGTGGGGAAGAACTGAGAGAAGTAGAGGAAGGGGAAACCATAATCAGGATATATTATGTGAGAAAAAGTCTATTTTCAATAAAAGGGAAAAATTAAAAAAAATCTTAATACATGTACATGTATGCATGCAGTAATAATTAGTGAAAAATAAGGCCATGAATTTGAAGGAGAGTTTGAAGGGGTATATGGGAGGAGTTGGAAGCACAAAAGGAAAGGGAGAAATGTTCTGATTATATTATAATCTCAAAATAAAATTAAAACTTTTTTCCTGCTTTTTTAAAGAAAGACCATACAGTTTATATCTCTTTATATGTTGCTTCAATTTATAGCTTATTTTAATCAGTTATTCAATTATCAGAAATTTATATTTATTTAATATTAATAAATAGTCACATACTTTTAAAAAAGATCATGGGAGTAACCAATCACTTTCTGATTAGATTTATGTTTCCCTGCACAAGAAAACCCATATTTGGCACCATTGTTGGACTAACAACCTGTGACTAGACAATTAATAAGCCCCAGGGCAAAACCTATTATCATTATTCTACTAAATGGACATAATATTAAACCTACTTCTAATGGCTTGTTATACCCCTAGATCAGTACATCTCTCAACCCTCATTAGGAAAGCTTCTGTTTGCAGTAGATAGTGATTAAGACCGAGACCCACAACTTACCAGGGTGCAGAGAATAAGAACCTACAGGATGCTCAGTCCTAACTGGATCATCTATTCTCCACCCTCTCCTTCCAAGACTCAGGGATCATTGTGGAAGAAGGGACAGAAATGATGGTAAGAGCCAGAGGGACTTATGAATAGAAGGAAATGGTGTCCCCTAGATACAGCGAGACATGCACATATGAACACACAGTGGTTATGACAGCATGCACAAGTTTTGTGCAGGCTCCAGCCAAACTAAATCTCAACATGGAGATGGGAGGTGGCTATGAAGTGTCACCCCTAGCCAAGGAGTTACTGGAAATCGACGGCTGCTGGGAAGGGGAGAGTCAGTTTTTAAGGGTTTCCACTTGCAGGTCAACTACAGTCCAATAGAATACCACACATTGATGAATACATGGGCAACCCAAAATAGACTTTATGGATTCAAACAAACAAACAATAGAGAGGCCACAAAGTTGGGTGTGGAAAGGGCTGGATCCAGAAGTTGGGGCAGGGGTAAATATGACCAAGACATATTGTACAAAGTTGTCAAGTAACTAAAGAGAGAGAAGAGAGGTGTCAACAATGCATGCTTTCAAACCTAAGAAAATAGAAAAAAAAGAAAAGAACATTGTGCATAATGTGAAAATAAAATGACTAATAAAGATAATGGAATAATTCTTGAAAGTAGAAAAATAGTGGAGAAAAGGAATACAACTGGAATTTAGTTCTTGGCAGTGATAAATAAAATTGAAAGACTGGTTAGAATTACTAGGGATAAAAAGAGATGACAAACATCTAATATCAAGGATGAGAAAGGGGCATGATAAAGTCTATATACCTTAAAAAGATAAAAAAGGGAAATTATAAGTAACTTTATGTCAATAGTTTTCACAGGTTAGGGGGAATGAATAAATTCCTTGAAAGATACTAACTACTAAAGGTTACTCAAAAAGAAATAATATATGTAACTTTGATTTGTCAATATATAATAAAATTAAGCACAAGGAAATGACTAAACTGAATAGCCTTGTATCTATTAAATCAGTTAAATGTGTAATTAAAACATATAGTTTAACAAATTGTCACAAAGAAGCCTTTGGGCCCAGAAGGCTTCATTGGTGAATACTACCAAATATTTAGGAAAGAAATAATACAAATTGTCCATAGAAACTCTTCCAGAAGGTTGAGGGGGATGTAAAACTTTTTAACCCATTCTATGAGGCCAGTGTGAAAGCTCGAGACAAGAGAAAAGAGATCTATTGTCTGATATTCTTCATAAATATACCAATAAACTCTTTTGTTAAAGTCTCATGTAGCTCAGGCTGGCGTCAAACTCATTGGGCAGCAGAGGTTGGCCTTGAATTCCTGGCCATCCTGTTTCTACCTCCTGAAGGCTAGGATTATAAGTGTGTGCTATGTGGTGAGGTGACAAAATTGCTAATGAAAGTTTATTAAATCCTATATAATAATGTGTTTAGATGTGCAATGTGTAATGATCAACTAGAGTTTATTTTTGGAATGCCAGGATGGGTGTCCATTCCAAATCTATCAAGGTACTTCATTATATTAAAAAAAAACTAGTGTAGATTAACTACATATTATCTAGGTAGATGAAAAAGAGATATTGATTAAATTCAACATCCATTTGTGGAAAAATCTCTAGCCTAAAATGGAATAGAAAGGAACTTTCTCAACCTGAAAGTAGTCATCTACAACATTCCTAAAGCTTGCATCTTGCTGAAAGATAAAGACTGAGTGTTCTGCCTTTTAAATTGAAAACATACATCTCCCTTGCCCATGGTCAGCATCCTCACGAAGCTGGTAGCCAGTGTAGCAAGGCCATAGGCTAGAAAATCATGATCACTGATGTGAAAAATCCCAAAGAAACTACCACACAAAAGCAACCAAAAGACCTATTAGGACTAATAATAAGTGAGTTTATCTAAGTCCTGGGATATGATCAGCCCCCCCCTAATTAATCATTTTCCACATACTATCAACAATTAAATTTTTAATTTATTTTTAACAGTTTTTTCTTTCCTTTATTATTTATTTATTAAAGAAATATTTACTTACTTATTTATTTATTTTACATCCTGGCCACAGTTTCCCCTCCCTCTTCTCCTCCCAGTTCCTCCTCCCCATTCCCCTCTGTTCTCACCTCCCCAATCCTCTCCTCCTCCTCCATTTGTTTAGGAAAGGGCAGGTCTCCCATGAGTGTCAACAAAACATGGCATATCAAGTTGCAGTAAGACTAAGTACCTCCCCATGTATTAAGGCTGAGCAAGGTGACCCAATATGAGGAGTAGGGTCCCAAAGTCAGTAAAAGAGTCTGAGACAGTCTCTGTTCCCACTGTTAGAAGTCCCACAGGAGGACAAAGCTATACAACTGTAATATATATGCAGAGGGCCTAGGTCAGATCCATGCAGTCTCCCTGGTTGTTGGATCAGTTTCTGCAAGCCCCTATGAGCCCAGGTTAGTTTGTCCTGTGAGTTTTCTTGTAGTGTCCTTGACACCCCTGGTTCCTACAATCCTTTCTTCCCCTCTTCTGCAGGATTTCCCAAACTCTGCCTAATGTTTTGCTCTGGGTCTGCATTTGTTTCCATTAGTTGCTGGATGAAGCCTCTCTGATGACAATTGGACTAAGCACCAATACGGTCACAGGAGAGGGCCAGTTCAGGATACATATCTGCTATTACTACTGCTAGGAGTCTTAGATGGGGTCATCATTACAGATTCCTGGGAGATTCTCTTCTACCACATTTTCTGAAATTCCATCTTCCACCTGTCAGAATGGGCTAAGATCAAAAACACAAGCAACAGCTCATGCTGGAGAGGACATGGAGCAAGGGAAACACTCCTCCATTGCTGGTGGGAGTACAAACTTGTACAACCACTTTGGAAGTCAGTGCGTTGGTTTCTCAGAAAACTGGGAATCAATCTAGATCCAGCTATTACTGCTCTTGGGCATATAATGCTCAATTAATATATATTATTATATATATATTTTATATTGAGCAATATAAAAATGCTCAATCATACCACAAGGACACTTGCTCAACTATGTTCATAGCAGCTTTATTTGAAATATCCAGAACCAGGAAACAACCTAGATGTCCCTCAACTAAGGAATGAATAAAGAAAATGTGGTACATTTACACAATGGAGTATTACTCAGCAGTTAGAAAAAGGACACCAGGACATTTGAAGACAAATGGATGGAACTAGAAAAAATTATCCTGAGTAAGGTAACCCAGACCAAGAAAGACAAACATGGTATGGACTCATTTATAAGTGGATATTAGTTGTAAAATAAAGGATAACTATGCTACAATCCACAGACCCAGAGAGACTAGATAACAAGGAGGGTTAATGGAGGGATGCCTGTATATCCCTGGGA